TATCGTTGTTGCAATCGGGCACTTCTCATCGCGGCCATATTAAAATCATGATGTCATAAGCGAAAAATGACATAGTGAAATTTATTGCACATAAGCAATATTGCATATTAGCAAATAAAGAGATATTTTAATAAAACGATTCTTGAGATAGCTTTAAGATATCTGTGAAAATGAATGGCTATTGTCTTTTCCTCTTCTAAAGGTCAATAAATAGCCATAAAAAGTACGTGAAATGAAGCCTCTTCGGACAGAAAAAACATATAGTTTAAGCTGTTGAAAGAAGTGAAAAATATGTTTTTACATATAAAATTCAAAGGTAACTTTATTTGCCGTTCATGTTTACGATTTGGTAAATATGAGATAAGTCACATCTGTACGATTAAGGATATAACGAAATAAAGTGCAATAAAAGATTTCGTTGTCAGCACGTCACTTTTAATCTAAAGATGGACAAAGACAAGAATAAAAATAGATAAGGTAAAAATGAACAAATTCACCATTACTATCAACACGGAGTTCTTTGCTAACTATTTTTGAAGATTTTTGCAACTTGATGCTACAAATATTTCGAAACATGTTGTAATTGATTAATTGATAAAACTCATTGTTCTAATTGATCAATCAAACGTTTCAAAGCGTTTGTAGTGAGATTTTGACTGCATCTTTAAATATAAGCACAAACTATATCAATATCGCAGTTAACGAATCGATCAATCCAGAATTATCAACAAAACTTAAGCAATACGTACAACAAAGGGGAGTGTCCCATTTGACCACTCACAGCGGCCGATGCCTAGAATTTTTCCACTATTCAAGCGTTATGAGTGGCTAGTCAATTGGGACGTGGTCAAACGAATGCCATCCCAACAAAGATGTTAATCATAATCAAGAATTTTAAAAGAATAATCTTCTAGTCTGTTTTTTTCATAACTGAATTAATGAAATTTGTACTTAAAATGAAATAAATATATATTTAGAGTTTACTAAAAGCGAAAAGGAAAATTATAGTATAGTTTAAGTCACTTTTTCTTTTTTTTTAGTCTTAAAACAACAATTTTTTATGAGCCACTTATCTAAAGCAGAGAGAAGTCTGAAAGCGGTCCCGGTTTTTTTCGTGATATACTTTTTCGAAATCGCTGTACGCGATCGTTACCAACTACAAACCAATTGAGCTTGAAATCGTAAGTTACATTTATTTTGCAATATAGCTGATAAAACAGTCTTACAAAATAGATGTGGCACACATACGTGTTCGTGCTAAATTCATTCCGTGAATACACATTACGTCTGCGAGACACGATTTTATTTCCATGTGTCACGAAAAAAAAACAGGATGGTCGTTTTCAGATTTCTTTCTGCTGAAAGCCAGAAAGAACAAAGAATGTGAGTGCAGAAGGTGCAAGCAACGTGACAAATAATATAGAGAAGACACGTCCCTCGTAACACATGCACGTGCATGCTACTATTGGTATAGTGCGACATTTTTTGGAGTATATATGTATTTTGTATTATTTCTAAAGGATTTTTGTATAAAACATGACGTCGTTCAAGAAAATAAACACTAAAGTGTATGCTAGGACAGGCCCGGAATTAACTGAAGATAACATATATTGGAAAAAATATACGGTACATATATATATAGACGCTAATAGAAAGTGATTTGATATTTTTGTATTGATATTGCTTCCACGTGCACCCTGTATAAATTCACTATTTATTTCACTACGAATAAATTCACTATTTTATTTTAACACTTACATTTTAATAGAAAAAAAAGAAAGGTTTTATTCAAATTAAACTTTAATATGAATATTGAAATTTTAGAATTAATTTTTTCTTTACATTTAAAATGTTTATAAAATTTATGCTTTTATATGCTATAATAAATAATATTGTAAAATAAGCAAAACTGTAACAATAACACAATTGGCAATCTAAATATTTAAAATAAAAACAATTTGTAGACTACTGACTATACTTTGTCATATATGTTTACATATTTATGATTTTAATTTATATAATCGTAAATATTCCATATATATGTGCATTCACAAAGAAAGATAAATTATTTAGTAATTATATAACAATTATCTATTTACAGCCTCCAGTTTTAGTAAAGGAATTTGGTCCAATAGACTACATAGACTTCTCACCAGTAGAGCCACATTATTTCGCTGTAACTTGTTCAGTACGAGTGCAACTATATAATCCTATCACAAAGTTAGTCACAAAAACTTACAGCAGGTTCAAAGAGGCTGCATATGGAGGTTGTTTTCGTAAAGATGGTAAATTGTTGTGTGTTGGTGGAGAAGAAGCAATGGTTAGACTTTTTAATATCAGCTCAAACAGCATGTTACGAGTCTTCTCTGGTCACAAAGCTGCAGTGCATAGAGTTTCCTTCACAACCGATGATCTTCATATTGCTTCATTCTCGGATGATAAAACTGTAGCATTATGGGATATATCTAGCGAAAAGCAATTGATAAGTTTCAATGAACATACAGATTATATTAGAGCTGGGGCAGTCAGTCCTGTATCCGCTGATATATTATTATCTGGTGGATATGACAAAATTATAAATATGTACGATGCTAGAACAAATAAAAAAATATTCAGTGTTAATCATGATGCACCAGTAGAAAGCCTACTTTTCTTGCCAACTGGAGGAATATTTCTATCTGCAGGTATTGTAAATTCTTTAATAAATGTAATATATAATGATTTGACATCTGATATATAATTTTATATATACGAAAGTAACATTTTGTATACAAAGAAATGAATTAATTATTTATTTGTTATTTTAAGGTGGAACTGACATCAAAGTATGGGATGCTCTTACAGGTGGCAAATTACTTGCAAAAATCACACAGCATCATAAAACGGTGACTTGCCTGAAAATAGCCTCTAATGGACATAGAATACTGTCTGGCTCATTAGACAGACATATCAAGGTTTATGATGCTGGGACATATAAAACACTTCACACTTTAGATTATCCCAATGCGGTTCTTAGTATAGGAATTAGTGTAAGAAAAAAATATTATTCTGCATGAAAATCTATTCCCATCTATATTCAATATTTGATCATTATTATTTAAAGTTATTAAATTAATATTTAATTGCAGGCGGGCGACGAGACTGTTGTAGCCGGTATGGTAGACGGTTTGATTTCCGTTAGGAGACGCGAGGAGGATACGAAAGATGTGATAAAACCGAAACGTAAGAAGGTGTCGTACAGGCACGCGGGTGAAAATCTACATGTGCAAAGTATTGATGTTGTTGTGCAACAAGAAGTTAAAGAGATAATGAGCAAACATGATGCTTGTTTGCGAAAGTTTCAGTATAGTAAAGCACTTGACTGTGTTATGATGAATTATGTAGTCAACAAAACGCCGCATGTTACCGTAGCTCTAACACAGGAATTAATCAGGCGCGAAGGACTAAGGCGAGCTTTGGCCGGTAGAGACGGCAAATCGCTAATTAACATTATTAGGTTCTTGAACAAATACATTGGTAGCATTCGTTTTGGAAGAGTATTACTACATGTAGCAAATGTTTTATTAGGCAAGTTTTATATATTTCGAATTCTCTCTTCTGTTTATATTAGATTTCAAAGATTAATATAAAAGTTGAATGTTTTTTTTTTTCATTTAATAGATGTATATGAAGATCATTTGGATGAGTTGTCGGAAGAAACACGAAAAATGTTCACTATGTTAGCACAAAAATTGCAAGAGGAGGAACAATTAATTGTAACCTTGACGCAATTACAAGGTTCGATGCAAATGATATTGTCCAGTGCTGAAATATCTTTCTTGCCTGCTATAAAAGAAAATCAGAGTTTAGAACCATCGAATGCCGCACAAACAGAACGTGATATTGTCTTAAATATAGTATAAATACATAAAATATTAAAATTGTAAAATAAATAAATTTTCTGTAAATAGTCCTTTATATTAATACTTTATATTAAAAGTAAATCGAATTTAATATTTTCATCTATAAATTCCAATTCTCAACTAAAAAAAAGTAAATTAAGCTCTTTAAAATTAAATCTTTAAAAATTAAAATATATATATTTCATATCTACAATTTTTGAAAAAGTGAAACGGAAAATATGATTATAAATCACTATATCTTGATCTGTATCTTGATTTACAATCTGCTAATAAATGATTTATTTATTGAATTCGTTTATTTAGTTATTCTTCCTTAAGTAAACTTATATTGACATTTGCTTATTTTAAGAAGTTTCTTTATTGAGATATTTTTGCCAAGCAGCAGAAGATGGTTTTTCAGGCACTATCCATCCCGTTGGAATCGTTGTTGCATCATTCTCTGAACTGATGAATCTATCCCAGGCCGCACTGAAATATGAAAAAGATTAATTTTTTTTTATTCTTGTTTTTTAATTATTATTATCTAAAATTTATATCATAACGTAAATTTAATCTAAGAATTATCATAATGTAAATATATACCGAATCATGATAAGGCTATCCGTATTTGTATAAGACTGTTCGGCAGCTAATATATTTGTTCCAAATAATACATTTTCCCAATCATCAAATAAATTTTTCGTTTGTTTTTTGATTCTCTTCTCGTTATCCATTTTCAGCATTAATTTTAACTCCTGTTCTTCTATTGCATACTCATGATCCAGAATAGTCCATTGGTTTATTAATTTAGCTGCAACAAATGCATTATTAAAAATAAAATAATATATATTATACATTTATAAAGCGATATATTTTGATTTATTACTAAATATTCTATTAATCTGTTTATTATTTTATTATTACAATTATTCATTATTTTATATCATATGTTTTTTGATTAAGAAAATTAATTTGTAGTTATAAAATCTTACTAATCATATCATTGAATACTTCTTCAGTTGCTAAGGATAATTTTTCGCCTCTCGCTCGAGCAATGTTTGTTTTGATCTTCCGTAAATTCTGTAGTTCTTGCAAAATTCCTAAGTACTTTCGTGCATCGTTTCTTTTGCTTCGAACGTCAGACAAAACCATATCTGCATCCTTACGTAAATTCTCTTCTTGTTTCTCCTGCTCAATTACCGCCTGTTCCTTTCGAATCCATAAATTAGCCTCCGCATGCAATCTTATTCTTCTTTCTTCCCTCATTAATTTCTCTTTTTTATGTTCTTTCCTTCTACGTTGTTCTCTTATACGTTTTTTCTTACGTTTTTCTAAGTCGTTTTTAACTTTATTCAAAAAGTTTACATCATTTACTGTTTTTAAAATTTCACAGATTTCATGTTTTGCAGCATTACAGGCACTGACTTTCTCCTGCCATTGTGCTTCTGGTAAGTCAATGTTGTCCTTGAGTTCCACACAAATAGTCTCAAGTTGCTTATTTAATTTTGCCACTGTCATCAACGCACTCCTAGTAGCTGCAATCTTACATGGCTCTTTCTGTTTATTTTTAGCAGGAATTAGCAATTCTGTCTCTTGAAGAAATTGTTCAATGGCCTTTTCATCTTCCTGTCTTCTTAGTCTATCGATTGACGTCGCGTCATTAACAATATTGTTATCACATGTTACATGGCTTGGATAAACGTTATAATATATATTCCCATCATAATTTACATTATATGGAAATGGTTGTTGAATTATTGGGTAATACATGTTAAAATGCACATTTTCATAAGTTTGTACAGCATTTTGCTGAAAGGATTGATCACTGTACATGTTTGTTTAATAGTATATCCAAGTGAGAATGATAATAAAAAAAGAGAACTTAGACTACAATAGATTTTGAGTGTAAAATTTGTCAAATGTTAGTAAAGGTGAGAAAGAAAAATATTGAATATTAAAAAATAATTTAGCAAAATTTATCAAAGAGCACTTTTTTAACACATCTGTAAAATATCTCCCTCTTTTGGTAGTTGCGCCTCTGCTTCCTGCAGTACTTTTTCTGCTTCGATGTAATCTTCAACTTCTTTTAAATCTTGCTCGGTGTCTAAAATCTTCTTGAGTTCTTCAAATGCTTTAACAAGACGTCTTTGGCAGTCAGGTACCATCATAAGGGATTCTTGAAGCACTTCTTCTTGCTTCTTTATGTCATAGCCATCTTTATCTATAACAACATACATATTTTATTAATAAAATTGTTTAACAAAAGTAGATAAATATTATTTTAAAAACATTAAAATTAAAGAAAAAAGCGTATTGTGACTAAAACTGATCCAACCAATGTAAATTAATTTTTAAGCTTGATTTAATTTATCTTTGATTTTATTTTAATTCTAAGAATTAAAAGAAGATAAAGGGTAAATAAAATTGAGATTAAAGTTAATTTACATTGGTGGAAATGGACATAAAAGAATCAATAAAATCTTTCAAAACAACTGCGTCATCAGAAATATTTGAATAAAACATATTATTTAGATATTATAAATTAGAAGAAATATTCGTGAAACACATTAAACAAATCTACGCATTTTCGAATTCGTATTACGCAGCTACGCGAGACAGATCATTTCGATGCCACGTGATTCGCACACTTCATCCATCCTCACGGCTGAAAAGCAATCCTCACCCTGCTCCTTTAACTTTTGTATCCTCTCGCGCTGCTGCGCCGCCTCCTTTTCGTACGTAACTTTTTCTTTCGCGAGGCGTTTCACTACTCCCGTCTTAATCTTGAGCGTTCTTATACGCGGGTCAGACATTATTTATCTCCGTACGTTCGACGGGACGCTTCACCTCTTGGAATGACGGAAATGGGAGGAGCCGGGGCCGCGAGTCTGTGTCAAAGGATCGAAAGTGTCCTCACTTAGGTTTCCTCTTCTTTTTTTGCTTTTTACCTTATTAGGAGATGAATCGATAGAAATGGAATTTATGGTCAACGTAGGTTATGTTTCGACTCGCGCGTGCCTACTTCACTCCGATCGCGCCTGACGCCCGTCGAGATCTCGAGTCCAACTTCGGGACGTCAACGTCCGTATCGATACTACAGTATGCAATAGTCAGTCGATTCTATGGCGGTCTTTTGTTACGTTGCTCGTAATTTCGCGAGTTTTATCGCGATTTTTCTACACGTAAGTTTACAATTAGCTTATCGCGCGGTGAGCGATGGAATATGCGTGATTATCGTTATCAGAAGTTCGATAAGACGCAAAGCGAAGTTTACCTTTGCTTTACCATTGTTATCGCGTCGTGGCATTATCGAGCTTTGTCTAATAAGAAAATGTCGGACGTAAATCACGGCGCGCGCGATTTTCCGGAAGGCAATGATAATATACTGATAAAATAAAGAGAATTACGCGCTACAATTCATATTGGCAAGTTTTTAATTTATAAAACGAACTTTTATAGGAATATGATACTTTAATTATCTCTATCAAGTATTCGTGTCGAAATCGACGTTTTGTTTCAAATTCATTAAAATTGAAATGTAAATTTTTATTCCTTAATCGGTTATTATCGAAAGCTTTTCTTCAACTATTTTGAAGTCGGAGGAATTTTACTGATTAGAATTTAGATTTTCGATATTTTTAATTAATCAATAAAAGTTTTAGAGATGAAAAATAACATCTTTATGATTATTAAGATTTTGCTAATGGCGGCGGTATGCCATTACATGGAAGTATCGAAATGTCTGATATAAATGGGATAAACATTATCCATTTTGTTATTAGCAAAATGCATTAGTAAATATAATTATTGCGCTGTTATTATTTCACGTTGCTTAATGAAATAAATTTGTTTCTTAATTATTTTTTATTTATAATTCAAAATTTGTTATACGAATATGTTCTAATAAGAGTCATAAAAAGCTATCCGATAAAGTTGCAATCGAGCTTTTTTTAATAAAGCAAGTGCTCATTTGTAGATTAATTTTAATCTCGGTTTAGTTATTCTTAATTTTCTTTTACATTCAAGAATTAAAAAGGATAAAAAGTAAATTAAGTTGAAATTAAAGTAATCTATATTAATAGAAATGGATGTAAGACGAAACATTAGTCGAACAAATAGACTTTAGACTAGAGTCACTCTAGTTCATCAGGACACATCAATAATTTCATCGACTTCCGGAGAAGTTTATGTATGGAATAAATTCGATTCGTCGCGCGGGTAATGACAAAGCTCGGTGGTCATGGGGAGGGGGGCCGTTCGTCGAGCGCGTGAAGTTGGTGAGCCTGGGCGGCGCGCCCGGGCCGACTCGCGGCTCACTTCGTGACGCGCGCGGTCGAGCGCTCCGAAACTGCCGCGACTGCCGCACTCCGGCAGCGCTTCCGCAGAGCGAAGTGCCGCACCGACCTATACGCCGCAACGAGACGGTACCGTGCGGCGGGAAGACGGAAAGAGGAAGCGAGAGAAGAGGAAGGAGGGCGCAAGGGAGAGAGAAAGAGACAACGCGCGAGGGTGGTGTGGTCACACTGGCGCGTCCGCCGTCGACCGACACGTCCACGAGGGAGATGTGATGCGGCTCACACGATGGTGGACAACGAGTTCCCGGCCGCCGAGAAGATCCTCCGTGACATCGAGAACACCGTCAGGAGGAATCCCACTATGTGAGTGCGCGTTCTCCTCTCTCCTGTTTTTACGCCCGCGATATGTACCCGCAGCTCGCGGCACACGGGCGTGTTTTTGTCGTCGTCTGTCCCGTCTCCGCGACAGGCAAAGATCGAAATCGGTTGGAGTAGCACGTCGCGAGTCTCGCACGCGCGGAAGCCTTTCGACGGTTTTCCGGTTGTCGCGAGTCGCGTTTTACGCGCGTTTGCGGTGTCGCGATTTGAACTCTGGGGTAGGTCGTGACTGTTACGATTTTCCGTCGCGATTACGATTCGGTTTTTTTTCAGGTAAATCTTGCGCATCTCGTCAATGATTGTTTTCTTTTAGTCTCTCGAAATTCAAATTCGATATGATTGATCATTTGTAGGAAGAGTGACAGAGCGTGAGGAGGAATGTGGGCGAAGCGGCCGATATATACCGCGTTATCGATTTAAAATCGCCGCGGACGTCGCAGCGAGGGATCCTAACCTAAATTCCTTACGGGGGCCCCGTTTCGATGCCCGCACTGCAACATCCGTAGACTGGAATGCACATCCCGTGCACCGCGGTTTTAACCGCACAGTTGCGAGGGCGGAGTCTTCGACGGAAGGGCGGGGGGTTGGGAAAGCGAGGGTGATAAAAAAAAGCACGCACTGTGCGATCGCGCTAATAGTCAACCGCAAGGCGAATCGACCTCGCGATTTTAACGTGATGATCGATCTCGCGCGCGAACTTTTTCGCCCACGCTACTCGCCGCTACTGCAACGTGCGGTAATAATCGCGAAGTTGATTGTGAGTCCGTCGCAAGTCACGTGCTCCAATCGTAATTGACCGCCGTTCTAGATCATAATCTATGAAATATTAAGAGAGAGAGAGAGAAAGACAGCGCTGGATTGCTTGATTTAATTTAGGATGTATTACACTTATTTTTAAAATTTGTATATTTGCAATGAAAACATGAAAAACTTACAGATTTTTTGTAAATCGTATTAAAAAAAAAATACAAAATAGTTTAATAGCGTTTTAGAATCTGTATAAAAAATTATTTAAATAAATAAATAGAAATGTACTCTTTGAGATTGAATTAAGATTTTTATCATTATTTTCTTAATTATATTTCTATTAAAGCATATTTTTATTTTATATTTAAATTATTTTTTATCCAAATTTTAAATTGCTGCAAAATTTTTTTAATTATTTTTAAATGCGATCTAAAATAATATATATATTTTTTATTGTAAATAAAAATAAGTGTAATATATTCTTAACTTTTTTGGTATCATCAAAAGTTCTGTTATCACAAACTGTTGAGATTTATCAGGAAAACATCAAAGTATAAATAAGTAAATAAATGTCCGTGCATGATATCGATATTTCTATTTTCTTTTTCTCTACATTCGAGATAAGTTATTCTTTTATGTTCTTACTATATGAGAGCAGTGTAATAATTAGACGACTATGCAGATATAATGTCGGGGAATTACGGTCGGCACTCAATTTATTCGAATTGCTCCGGGGGTAATTAAAACCAATCTTCTTAAGCGTAAGTTTAACACGAAACATATATCACGCGTTTATTAAAAGTAAGATCTGGGTATTATTGTCGTCCTATTTTATTTTATTATATTTATCCCTTGTAAAATTTCTCGAAGTTAAATTTGCATAGCTGTACAAATTGGACATTTTCGAGAGCTGTACAAATAAAAGCTCGTTAAAATCGATCCCAATTATTTTCGTATCGAAAACGCTTATCAATTTCGTTATTCTGATTTTGTCAAGCGTAAGATTAAAATAAATTTTCGGATAGAATTGGGACGAAAAAAAGAGAACGGGAAAACACGGGAAAAAAATTCATGCGACAGGAACAGAGAGGTGCTTGGTAAATAATCGGCCGCGTCCGGCGTTCGTAAAGTAGCGCCATCCGGGGAGCATCGAGTGCTAATAATCGTGACTTGTTTGCATCCTTAATTCGGCCTTACTTGCGTAACGCACTTAAGTTTAATTGCTCATTTATTTTTACCATCTTCGGCGTATGTGCCGACGATCCCAGAAACCGAATGGAAAAAAGGAAAATTTTCGCAGCTATTTTTACTTTTTTTCGATAAGCTTCGACAAGCTCGTTTCGAGATAACTTTATCGGAATTTTGGAACATGAAAAGATAATTTTATTGAAGCATCTAAAGATTTGATATCTAAACATCTTTTAAAGATACAGATCTGAAAGTAATTTTGTTGGATTATTAGAATATGTAGGACGTTCCAATTGATTGTTAGATTATACCAAAAATTTTTTATAGTCTTATTATATGTTTAAGCGACCTACACAATTTTTGATCATTTATATTGATATTAATAATTAAGTTTTATTACTTAAATTATTAGACTAACAAAGGATATAAGATTTCAAGTATGAACATAATGGTACTTCTAATTTTGTCGGTGCAAAATTTCTTTCAATCCTTACAGCATCAGCATTGCGACAAACGATTATTTGCTGTGTTATCTATAATAGACACATTGTGGATTTAAATAACTGTAACTGTAATTTAATATAGAACATTGCTGAATATCGAAATAATTATTATTTAATAAACACGCTATCTTAAACGTAATTTTATTTGTTGCATAGAGTTAAGAATAATTCTTCTATTTTTTTAATGTTTATGTGTTATAATATTATATGTTAATTAATTTGTAATATTCTTAGGGAAATGATTATATATATAGTAGATTTTTATCACTTTAAAACGATACATAGTAAGCTAGTAATAAGACATAATGATAAAAAAAAATAATTGTCTTCATATGGCAATTTAATAGTTTCAATGCCAAAAGAATTTGTGGACATTTTTTTTACAATACAATACAAGTACAAAGTGGAGTAGCAATTTTACGGTCGCGACTTCTCTGCCTTCCTAGAAGGAGTTTCGTGATCCTGCCGATGGAGGACAGCGAGAACCGATCGCCGGTCTTTCATCAGGAGGACAGCTTGGGAGTGGCATCTTGGTGCGTCCAGCCGCTCTACATTTACACGTACCGTCGGCTGCTGGAGTATCGGCGGACGCGTCATCAACGGCGCGAGGAACCCAGCACCGTGGCGAGATGGCTGCTGGGTGCCCTGCTGTTTAATCCGAACGTGACCATGTTCTGGAATATGCGGCGGGAGTTGGTACGCGCCGGCAGGTTGGACGCACGCGACGAGCTATCCTTCACACGGCCGGTGCTCTATCACACGCCAAAGTGCTTCGAGGCCTTCGCGTATCGAAGCTGGCTGATGCCGCTCGTCCTGGACGCCGAGCAGACCGACGTCGCCGCACTCGCCAACAGCGAGCTCGAGCTCGTGCAGACCTGCGCGGATCGCTACGCGAACAACTATCACGCGTGGAGTTACCGGCGGCACCTGGTGACCCTGTTCGAGTCCCGCGGCTTATCCCTCAGTTACGACAGCGAATGGATGAGAACGGCCGTATGGTGCCGGCAGCACGTGTCCGATCACAGCGCGCACTCCTACCTGCAGTTCCTGCTGCGAAAGTACATGCTGGCGGTGGTGTCTCTGGGCAGAGAGGCGCGCGAGGATCCCGGTTATCACAGGATCGGGTTAACGCTGTTCTTCTATATGGACCGTTACCATCCCGCCGGCGAAACCGAACGGACGTTGCTGGAACGTATTCGCGAGGTCGCATGTCTGGAGCGCGATCACGGTTACTCGTCCACCGATATACGCAAACTCAGGTGTTACCTAACGGCGTTGTCATACTGGACGGAGGAGTGCTGGAATAATGAGAAATATATTCTCACGTACGACAATCACGAGACGTTGTGGTGCCACCGTAGATTCCTGGCGCACTTGATCGCTGTTCTCACTGTCGCGTACGCGAAGCACGCCTGTTATCGCGAGGACGATTTTTGGGACGCTCGATGTCACGAGGAGCTGTCACTCGCGCCGCTCCTCCGCGACAGACGTTTCACCACCGACGACGACCTGTTAATGGTCGCTCATGTGATGCTTCTCAAGTCATTTTGCTTTGTTAATATCGATATCATCGAAATGGCGATGAATCGCCCGAAGGAAAAGGTGTTTATCGACAGATTTTGCAAATATCTTGAAAGAATAGGCTTGCGATGATCGAAATTAGCGCGCGAGATTTTGAGTTTGACGAAAGCGTGACAAGCTGCGATAAAAAGCTGAATGTAAGATTTTACTTATCAGGGTGCATAAACGCGGAAGTAATAAATGTGAGGATTGCGCATTAATACTCGCGCAATAATTTTATTGTAATATAATTTCTCTTTCTCTCTCTTTTTTATAATTTTGTATTGTCCAAGTTGCGTCAAAATGCTCGATGTGATTCTATGATATGTGATTCTACGATGCATGAAGGGATAACTATTTTGTTAATCTTCTTTTTTTAAAGTTTTTGATATTCTTGAAATATATTTTTAAGCCGTTTGATTGTGTGTGTGTCTAATATTTTTTAATTTTTATTTTATTTTATATATTTATAAGAACGTTTTTTCTTAAAAGAAAGATTTTTTTTATATCTTCTTAATTTGTTAAAATTGTTGATAATTAACTTTTATTTTATTATAATGATTCTAGCTTTATAAAAAAATTTTTCTTATTACAGGAGCATTTTAAAAATACATCTGTAAGAAAGAATTCTTTTTAGGAAGGACAGATTTTGATTTTGAATATTCAATTTCCAATTTGGTGCTCAAGAAATCACTCTTTGATTTGGGAAGTAACTCTCGCGCGTTAGATTGCGATAAGCAGGATTCAATGTAGGTAGACGAAATTGAATTGTTATCGATACTTAATATACGCATTGTTCGCTCGCATAGCGAGTTCGATGAGCCATCGAGTACACCGGTGATACGTAAAAGCGAAATATGATATAACGAAGAGACAAATTCATCTCGCCGAGAGAAATTTCTGATAAAGGGAGTGCGAAAGTTTTGTCGTGAGAACAATTATGTATACCTATAAAATATCGAACGAGAAAAAAAAATGAAGATACTAGTTTTCTAAGATTTGTGTTTTTCTGTCGCCTCGCCGCGACTAGTGCCCGTCTCTATCCGGTCAATTCTTTTCCAGTGACGCAACTGGGACTTACGTGAGTCCGAAAGTAAAATTTACAGCGAGTTCCTAATGCGCAATAATAAAATTAGCTCCACTTCCTGCTATTCCATTCGCTTGATCTAAAAACACTCTTCAGTGAATAAACAGACTTCTTTTTTGTCTGTATAATAGAAATAATTAAAAAAAAAAATAATCCCGAAAACATCTTGATCGATTTACATCGAAAAGAAACTGTTTTGATGTCGTCGTTACAATTACTATGTCACCACCGGTTGTCAGCTGCGTTCTGCTTTTGGCACGACGCGATAACCAAAATAAACGAACTTTTAACGCACGATCCATTCAGTCTCTCTCGGGCGCTCGCTGTACTCGCGTAACTCGCGCGAATCGCTTTTGTTCTACAAATTACATTTAATTCCTTGGCTACGAACGCCGTTATAATCTGTATACTTCCAAGTAGGAAAATTATAAAGGCAAATAGAAATTCAAAGCAAGTAATTAATCGACGTTCTCATTGTCAATTTTTTACATCGTTTATTTGTATTGTATCGAGTAGTTGGAGCAGTCCATATTCGGATACATCAAAAATATTATATTTCCACGTCATTTGTTGAGAACTTCGAAACGGCAGTTTTACGTGCCGTAGCCAAAGAATTGAAGCTTTACGTGAGCGTATTATAGTGACATAGTTTGGGCCATGCGAGAAAAGAGAGAGGCAAACGTGCGGAACTCCGAGTTCGCTCGCTTTGAGGTCCTTCCTCCGTTGGAAGGCGCTAACATTCCGGATTTATAATTCACACGCTCAACGCTCGCACGTTTTTGCGACGTGGTGCGTCGAGTGCGAGGGAAAATCGATTTCCTGTATATATTTCACATACTCGTTGCGTTTAATTAATTTCTAAGCCGGATAGCGTATCGGCGTTTCGTTCGTTGGCACGACACGTCAAGATGAAAATAAACCGAGTTTTAACTCGATCCCTCAGTCGCGGCCGAATGTTCGTTACGAGCAGCCAATCATACGCCTTATCAACGGCCGGCTTATCACCATTGCGCGTTGGACCCACGACAAATGTCTTGATCGGACTGTACTTCGCTGTCGACGTTGAATATTCGCGCCCGAATTCTCGCGCGGGTGACTCGCGACGTCACAAAAAAGCTTGCATCTTTCTCGAGATCTCGCGAATTCCTAGAAGATGACGCGCGTCAACACGTAAACTCGCGAATCGCAAATATATGAGCGGCGGCCAGCTCCTCGGTGTACGTGGGATGTGATACCTCTGTCAGTATGATGTCGACCACCGCGATTCGCAGCTTCGCGCAAGACGCTGCCGGAGCGATTTTTGTCGGGTCGCGATCGATTCCGCTTTGCGAAACCTAAAAGATACATTATTAAAGCGAAGTACGACTCGCGGCATGTGCGATAATTACAGGATACCTGCATTTGTGAACGATGGATACATTAAAGAATATAATCGGTGCATAGCTGAGTAACGTTAAACCTTTTGATTGAAATAATATCGTAATTATACTCGAGAAATTATACTCGAGACTGTTCGCTAGTTTATACATGGAATATTTAGCAGAACTTTTTTCCAGTTTCGTCATTCATTTGTTTTTATGAATGTTAAAATTTGAACTTTTGAATATCGTTGAATTTACATGACAGTAGCGTGCGTAAACTCGGTGATAAGATCAAATATTGTAAAAGTCTAAAAGGTGCCATAAATGTATAAATAGAAGAACATTATCTTTTATACGTCTTGGCCTTCTCGTTTTATCATAAATTCTACATTTTAAATTCCAATAACTTCATTTACATGAGAACAAAATGATATACTGCATGAATGTCGATAATATCAATAGTCAGCAATAGTAAAATTTTCACAACAAAAATATAATATAAATATCTAATAATAATTTTAATAACAATAATCGTTCATCGATGCATCTATCTTAGTATTTTTCAATAACTCGTCAAGAACATCAGATCGTTCCGAGTGACTCAGAGTCCGAGTCGATTTCGCGCGCGACAAAATAAAAAAAAAAAAAAAAA